AGCAGAGCCTCTTGGACACTGGTTTATGCTTAGCAGAAAATATCGCCTCGCCGATCTGTGCGTCAAGAAAAAACACTGAACAGCCAATCATCAGCAATTGTGCACGCTCCATTTTGGTCCATTATTGTTTGTACCGAACGAAATGTACCAATTTTCGGCAAAATGTATGCTCGTGGCGCCGTGATAAGGGAACTTAACTGATTCTGTTCTGCACAAACTTGCATGCTGATTGCAATATTAACCTATAAAATAAAAGGGCCGGTACTACATAAATATTATGGCATGGGCTGAACAATTGGCCAATATTGTTCGGTGACCTTTCAGCTCTTGTTAAACGAATTCTCACCTAGATCGACCAAGATCAACTGGACAAGATCTTGGAGCTGATCGAGAGCGGCAAGAAGGAAGGTGCCAAACTTATGTGCGGAGGTCAACGCAAGGGAGACTGTGGCTACTTCGTGGAGAGCACCGTCTTCTCTGACGTCACAGACGACATGCGCATTGCCAAGGAAGAGGTATACAATCTCTTATCTGATATTCAACAGTGGATGCGTGCGTTTGAGAACAAGCAACCTCTCATAATACTTTGGAGTACAGTTAGCAGATATATACATCATTGTGAAGTTTAAAAACATCATTGTTTTTAAAGATTGGATTGATTTCCTTTCTTCCCCCAGATTTTTGGGCCGGTCCAGCAGATTCTGAAATTCAAAACCATCGAGGAAGTGGTCGAGCGTGCTAACGCTACGACATACGGCCTAGCTGGTGCCGTGTTCACACGGGACATTGACAAGGCGTTGACTGTAGCGAACACCATAAGGGCCGGTCTTATCTGGTACATCAATCGTTCATTTCAACAAGAATAATATGCTTTAATACAATTTGTTTTTTTTTCATGTGCTCACAAGAGCATATTGCTGTCAAGAGTGTATTGCTATTGTCTCTAGTTTTGTTTATGGCAATGAGGTTATCATGAGTAAGACATCACTATAGAAAAACTAATAAAGCCATCTTTGCAATATCTTGACTTACATTATATCTGAACAATGCAGCTTACTAACATTTTGGCTGTAGTCCCAGCCATGGCATTTCAGTAAGACCTTTATGATGGCAACACCCTTGCATCATCTGTCCGCGTATATTGATAGACTCGAAGGGGATAAGAGCTGTGTTGCCCTCCTTCCGAGTGTGCCGTGATGAAAACTTTATCTCAGTTCACTGCAGTGCGTGCATTTGTCTTTACTTTACATAAACCGTTCTCCATCCAATCAGAAAACCTAGGATTTTGTTTTCAGAAAATGTCGGAAACTAGACATGTATTTTTCTTCGCCAGGAATGTACCAAAGGCTACTTTTAACCTTAACTTTTAATTCAATTTCTCTACAGGGTTAACAACTACGGTCTCTTCAGTCCCATGATTCCATTCGGTGGATACAAAATGTCCGGCGTTGGCAGGGAGGGGTAAGTCCTTTTTAGAATTGTAAAATGAGACAGAGTCAATATCCAGTAGAAAATTTTATAACGCTTTTAATATTGCTCATACTTTATTATAATCTAAAGACAGTAACCGTTTATTAGTAAAACGCCTATCAATTAATGTCCATATTATAGTTAAACACGAAGGTTACATATTTTTGTACTTAAAACATGAAATATTCTCATTCGTATACTATAGATATTCCTTCATGCTTCACAAATAGAAATACGTTTCAGTCTATTCTCATGCATTTACTCGTGTGTCATGTTTTGCATGCACTATATTACTTTATTGATTACGTGTACAAAAAAAGGAACTTTGTTCTCCACTTTACCTCAAGTAGTGCCTGTACAAACATTTACCATAGCTTGTACTCTGGAAAGCTTTAAATCAGTGTTTTGATATAGTTTAGGCTGTTTTGAACGCCATTATATCCTGCTTGAATGTGTGACTTTGGACTCCAAGTATTTGTACGGAGCATGTACTTGCTGTTTGCATTTGCACGACTTGTGCCCTCTGTGATATTAAAGCACTGGTCGGATCTCAGTACATGTACTTTGCTCGTCTAGCTTCGGGCGTAGCATTCCCCCCCCCCCCCCCAAAGGAGAGGTAATGTTAGTACTATAAATTTTCTATAATTTACCACATCGGGATCGACTTTGTCGTGTTTTGAAATGAACATTTTGATTTTCCTTTCTTGCGTTGTAGGGGTGAGGACGGGTTCAAGGAATACTGTGAAGTCAAGACTGTAAGTTGAATTTATTATCAATGTGGATTAAACATGTAGCTGATTGAAAATTGATTGGGCAAAAAAAAAACGCGGAAAATAAGGTCCAGGAAAATAAAATCCAGTAGAACTTTCTTGACAAATTATGTATAGGAGGTATATAATTATAGACAGCAGACTGTGGGAAAGTTAGGAGAGTAGCCCTTGTATTTTTGAGCAGACAGAACTGTTTACAGTTAGTGTCCGATTTTAAATTTTAAGCACTATTTAAGCCATTTTGTTATTTAATTAAACTTTAATATTTCTTACCAAATTCCAGGTTGTCATCAAAGTTCCACAGAAGAACTCTTAGATGGTGTACGTATTAACCGCATCGGAGACTGACAGAGAGAAAGGCATGTTCATGTTCATCAACCTTCGGTGACCTTTCACACTGACGAGAGCATTGATCAAGTGGTTTCAGTTCAACCGATTTAAAAGAATCATGATCAGGACGCTTGTTCAAGCAACGTTCCTAATCCATGTTTTATTTTTTCAATAAAATTAAAATTATATGTTGTATTGTGTTTCTTTAAGAAGCCCGATCGTAATATGTTGAGGCCTCGTAGCTGTATGACATTAAAAAGGGGAATCATACTTGTATGATTAGCATAATAGCATAATTAGCATAATAGCATAATTGTAATAATAACAACGAAATCAGATCAAATGCATAGATGAAATGCAATTTGTCAAAACTCCATTTTAAAACAGTTTGTTTCCAAAAGTTGTTTCTAATAACAAGACACAATTGGTTTTTTCTATAAACACTGAGAGTATAGTCATCTGTCGGTCGGTCAGTCGGTCGGTCGGTCGGTCGGTCAGTCAGTGGGAAAGATAGGTAAAAGAGGACTCTAAATGCTTGCCCGCTGGAAAGAGGAAAATGTACAGAGAACTGGTCCAAATTTTGGAAGTGTATTAAATTTTATATAGGAACCTTCTTTTTGTTTTGTAACTGCACGTCCAATTATATTTTCAGTCGATAGAAAAGATTTTTTGGCAAGGATTTTCCTTTCCCCCAATCAGTATGGTAAGGGGCTTAAAGTGACCATCTGTGATTTTGTGAAACACGGAACGACGGCATCCGTACTTTCCTATTAGAGATGTCTTTCCTTGATGCTAAATCTAGGAAACTCGATAATTTTTCACGGAAACGCGGAATCGCAGTTGGCCACCTAATGCTTCCGTAACATAGGCTGCGAGTGGAATTGAATACTATTTTTGTAATTTACTGCAAACTTGTTTTAATTTGTTGAAGTTGTTGATTTAAGAAGATCACGTTGTGGTGTTGATGTTTCTCACGTCACATCCCGCTTGAGTGCAGTGCAAAGAAGTCTTTTATTCAGTGCAGTTTTATATTTGAACCAAAGAAGTATAATTAAGACATATATAAATGCATATCTGAGAATAATAAAATAATACATGTATATCCGTTATAAAACACCAAGTCGTTAATAAAAATCAAAACGAATGTTGTTTTTGTGAAGAAAAAAGTGCAGTTTTGAGTTGAAGTCACAGATATGTGAATGAATTTGCAACCAAGCTAAATGAGTCGTTTGTCGGCCCTTATCGAATTGTTTATTTTTTGACAATTTTGAATAGAGCTATCTTTCAGTTTATATTTGATGAAAACCCCATGTGAATACGACCGTCCATTCAGAAGTTATGGGACTTAGAACAAGGGCAGATCAGAAAGGAAAAAACAGAGAAATCAAACAGAGAAATCAACGATTCAAAATTGAAGTATTTATTAAGCAACAATAAACATGCTTTATTTCAGATTATTGAATATTAACTCCTTATCAAATGTCACATTTTAACTACTTTATCCTGAGTTTTTAGTTGACATGAAAGAGGACATATGTAGCCTTCCGATTTTACAAAAAAAGTTTATTTTGAAATGTCCACCCCTACAGACCTATTTTGGGCTGTAATTGCCGACAAACGACTCATTTAGCTTGATTGCATCACACAAAAATTTTGGAGGGTGAACCGAACCCACCTCTAAGTTCTGATCCATCTGCTTGTCGCAAGTGGCTTAGCCAACATTTGTTTCCCGTGGGGTGGGGGTGACCAGCTTTTTATGGGAGGGGAGTAAGCAAGGGGATTTCTTCCCAAAAATGTTCAGTGTCTGCAAATTAAAAAAGTGGGGGGGGGGGGGGAACGATTGGACCTCATTTGACGCTTGGGGCCCCTTTTATATATACATGTACATTTTACTTATATCTCTATTCATTTCATAAATGAGGGGAATTACAGCATACCTTTTCTGGTTTAATTACTTAAAACGACTTCTTCGGTTAGGGACAACTTTCCTGGTCTTAGGGGGGGGGGGGCACCTGAGGATGTGGGGCAACGGGATTTTGAGGGGGATGTGCCAAGCCTCCGGTTATGAGGAACTTTTTTGGAGGTCTTAATCTACACGGTACAAGGAATATAGGCTACATTCACTTTTTTTAATCGGCCATGCTGGGAAAGGTACCTGCATGGCGCCCTCATATGAAGGATGGTGATATAACAGGGTTTTTCTAAAATTTTGGGGTCCGAATTTGGGCACTAATGTAATCGTCTTCCAAGAGTGATTATGAACAGACAGCCCCCCCCCCCCAAAAAAAAATCAAACAAACCAACCAACCAACCAACCAGTCATTCTTTATAACACTTGATTGGCAAATTACAAAGTACCGAGGTCACAGGAACAGGACAAAAGTTAGACTTTGGACCCAACATTTATAGAATGACACAACTTCATTATAACAGAACGGTGATAGGCGACTATCTGACCTTCTGCGCTTCGTCATCTTTGCCGGCTGGAGGGATCCAGTGTACAACCATATAGCTTGGAAACCATAGAAAATGGCACCCGTTGACGTGAAATACACGCAGGTTGGCGATATAATTTGATTATTTCTAACAGAATCAGGGGTTTTTCTTCAGGGGCTCAGAGAGGTGATGTTAGCTGTCATGTGGGGAGCATTTGGCTCGGGCCATTAGCGGCGACCATGTACCAGTATACATTTGTATACGCGGTTTTAAACCAGACGTTTAAAACTGTTCCAAATACACTATTATTGCCTTATCATAAAATAACCTATTGTTATTTCTCGTCAAGATCTTCATCAACAATGAGTTCGTCAACTCCGTGAGCGGAAAGACCTTTGCGACTCTCAATCCGGCCACGGGCAAGAAGACGTGCGATGTTCAGGAAGGAGACAAGGTAAGATCAGAAGATTGAAGAGCAACTTTTACAAGACCTCAGTCTATAACTCCGTATATGAGAGATAAAATCGAGTTCGTTTTATTTTTAAGGCGGATGCTGACAAGGCGGTCCGCGCTGCCCAGGATGCCTTCAAGCTGGGTTCACCATGGCGACGCATGGACGCAACTGGTCGGGCACGTCTGCTCAACAAACTGGCGGACCTCATCGAGAGGGACCAGGAGTATCTCACGGTAAGGGCTTAAACCGATGAAGGTTTTCAACCGTGTGGAGGCGGTACTTGAAAGTGGCACAACGTGGTGCTCTTTTTTGTTTTAATTGTCAACAATGAATGCGCAAAAGGTAGAGATACAAACCCATTGTCCTCTTACTCTACCGGGTGGGAAACCCGAGCCCTAGGCTGTAGATGGCTCTTGTTCAACATTGGTCTTATTGTCTTGTTCTTTTAGAACCTTGAGGTCATGGACAATGGTATGCCAGTCAAGACCGCCACAGTCTCTGTCATGGCCAGCGTCAGTTACTTGCGGTACGGTGCCGGCTACGCAGACAAACTTCACGGAAAGGTCGTTCCCCTAGGTGAGCTAGCCCCCAACTCCTATGAGATGCTGACCAATCAGAAAAAAAGCTATCAATTACATATTTGGACCTCGTGAAGTTGATATACATTAAAAACATCAGCTGCAGTACTTCAGGTAAACCATCAAAATGTAGGAAACTTTCGAACTCGATTATAACAGTTGTGCGCTACCAAATAAAGTTGAATTGTACTGAAATTAAGCTCATTTTGTCAAGTCCAATTTTTGTCGCGTTTAGCGACAGATTGGATGAGGACAAGACGAGGAAGACCGCGCTACAGTATCTTTATTCATACATGTGCACTTCGTGACATGCCAACTCACAGTCTGCAAAGCTAGGCGGCTTGTTATAACAGTCCCTGATTCAATCGACTTTCCCTGCATTCGCTCTGCCGCCTCAGTCTGTGCGTCCGTCTTTTTATCTGACTATCATTCTTCCACACTCATTAGACGGGGATTACTTCTGCTATTCGCGCTACGAGCCGATCGGCGTGGTGGCAGCCATTATTCCCTGGAATTTCCCTTGTGGGCTGACCGGGATGAAGCTGTCCTGCGCTCTGACCGTGGGCAACACGCTGGTCATCAAGCCGGCAGAGCAGAGTCCGCTCACCGCTCTCTACATTGCTTCGCTGGTCAAAGAGGTATAATTAGAGACGAAAAGTTGCAAGTGTTTGCAATAACGATAACACCTATACGTTGCGTCAATGCGCAAATGCGTTGGCAACACGTACGTGGATGGGACCATAAAGGGTACAATTTAAATTTTTGGCGAGACAAAACAAAAATAGATGGGAAGACCGTTGAAAAATAAAACATTTTTGTTGTTGTCATTTTGAGGCTGGTTTCCCTCCCGGTGTTATCAACGTGGTACCTGGTTACGGACCCACAGCTGGAGCAGCCCTGACAGGCAGTATGGATGTTGACATGGTAACATTCACCGGCTCAACTGAGGTACAGAATTTCCTCATCTTGTTTTCTCCAATTTTGTTTCTTTCTATACCCTATTTCAAGATGAACTATAGACATTTATACAATATTTTAACTTCAGACTTTTTGTATGGATGTCTAGGTTGGGCGCATCATTCAGCGAGCTGGAGCCAACAGTAACCTGAAGAAAATCCATCTGGAGCTGGGTGGGAAGAGTCCAAACGTTGTCTTCGCAGACTGTGACCGTAAGTCATATGAAAATAAACGAAAGATAAGAGTTTCAAATATAATATTTGCCTTTCTAATAGGTCTCCGTCGGTCGGGAGTCGACCTTGATTGTCTCTGTCCCTCTGCGACCGGAACAGTGTCGGCTATGGGAAGGCAGCAGATGCCGATGCATGAATGACAATTACTGCCGCTCTGGCCAAAGCTGTGGATTGTCTCTGGATCGTTTGTAGTACGGTGCACCTGTCGGCGAGCTCTTTTTCCTCAGCCAGACTCGGGAGAGTTACCTCTTCCCACATCGGACGGTGCCCAAGAGCGCTTCTCCATCTGGTACGATCTTCTGCAATGTCCTCCTAGTGGCGTTATTGAGTGCCCTCATATCATGCTTGCAGGAATCATTGTAGCGCGCTGGGGGCAGCCAACAGTTCTCTTCCTGGATACCAGTTCGCCGTAAAGAATGTCTTCTGAGTATGCGGCCATCCTGCATACAGTGTGAAGAAGTACCCAATTACGATTGACAGGTTGGCAAGCCTGGAAGCACATGTTGAGGAGGCGCGGCGAGTTGTCATTTGGTCGCCCGGAGCCGAAGCTCATAGCCAGCGCGCTCTTACCTGCTGACAGCGTTCAGGTCTCCAATGACTAGTAGTTGGTCGTACGTGAGGTACGTGGAGTAGAATTATGGCAGGCGGCGGAGAGAATCGTTGAACGTAGACCAAGCGGACTGTTTGTCTTCTTCGAGAGCACCCAGGGCTTCAAATTTGTTGCCTGACAGCAACATTTTAATTAGTGCCAACGTTTGTGTTGTCTATATCGGACTGATCTACCATCGAACGGCGTGGTGGTACCCGGTACGTAGACCGTAATGGTGATGTATCAATGTCTATGGCGCCGTGCATGAAGGATCCGGTTAGAGACTGGCATCCATTGTACAAAGGATGGGCTGACCTTGTTGAGGAGCAAGGCAACTCCCTCCGTGCAGCCTGTACCATCAGAGTGATACAGCTCAATCGTGGACACGGCGTTCTCCGCTTCCTGGGATACAAGCTTCGGTGAGTGCAGCGATGCTTATTCGGCAGCGCGTCAGGTCTCGGGTGACAGCTTTCGGGTATCCCATCTTAGAGAGTGTGAGGCCGTACCAGGTAGCGACACGGAGACATGATTTTAGATCAAATTTGGTCCCGATTTGACTACAGTAACGACATTTATTACCCCGATTTGACCGTAGTAGCGACATTTATACCCCGCCTGTTATCTGGTTCATAGTGTTTTCTATTTTCTCTTGGCATCAGTTGACTACGCAGTTGAGACGAGCCATTGGGGCGTCTTCCTTCATTCCGGTCAGGTCTGCTGTGCCGGCACCAGGATCTTCGTACAGGAAGACATCTACGATGAATTTGTCCGGAAGAGCAAGGAGAGAGCGGAGAGACGTGTGGTCGGTGACCCGTACGATGTCAAGACGGAAGGCGGACCCCAGGTACGGGAGGGGGGCCGCCAGTTTTGTGTGTGCGACCAAGTATAATCACTAACCATAATAAGCATAACATGTATCTTAATGTAAAGACCATCGCCATTTTGAAAAAGACACCTCTACTCAATTGCAAAATAGAGCGTCGTTCGGGTCCAATGTCACCCAAAATTTCTCAGAATAACAAGTTAAAAGACCGGTTTGCATCTGGGACCCTTCATTTCTACAAATCCTAGAATGCAGGGGTCACAAATCCATCTATTAAGAGAAAAATTGACAGTATTTGAAAAATAATCAGGGTATGGCCCACACGTACAGTCAATTATTTTAGGCCTACTGGGTCTGCATCCTTACTGGGGCCCGTGTTTCACCGATGATTCATTCCTAGATCGACCAAGATCAATTGGACAAGGTCTTGGAGCTGATCGAGAGCGGCAAGAAGGAAGGAGCCAAGCTTCAGTGCGGAGGTCAACGCAAGGGAGACTGTGGCTACTTCGTGGAGAGCACCGTCTTCTCTGACGTCACAGATGACATGCGCATTGCCAAGGAAGAGGTTAGTCTGGTTCCCTGACGAGAGGATTCTAACGTCTCACAATAGATCGTAGGTCAGGTAATTGTCACAATAAAAATAGCTTTGCATTGAAATTCGTAAATTCAAGCTAAATTACATTTACTTATCAATATTTATTCTTAACTTTATTATTAGAGAAAGAACACAAAACTATTCGATTAGATTGATTATTTTTTCAGATTTTTGGGCCGGTCCAGCAGATTCTGAAATTCAAAACCATCGAGGAAGTGGTCGAGCGTGCTAACGCTACGACATACGGCCTGGCTGGTGCCGTGTTCACACGGGACATTGACAAGGCGTTGACTGTCGCCAACACCATAAGAGCCGGCCTTATCTGGTACATTTTTCGTTTATTTTAATGAAAATTATTTCCTTTAATATCGTTCTTTCGCTTTATTTGGGCATATTTTTGTAACAAGATTGACTGTTTTCTAACTGTTTTCTCAGTGTTTTTACAGTGCGGATTTTCTTGTGACCCACCGGAAAATGGCGGAAACTGCTCATTAAAAAACCCTTGATTGATAGACGTGTATTTTTATCACATGCACCGGGAATATACCAAAGGCCACTTTATTTTCAATTCAATTTCATTTTTGCGCCCTCTAGGATTAACAACTACGGTCTCATATCTCCCATGATTCCATTCGGTGGATACAAAATGTCTGGTGTTGGTAGGGATGGGTAAGTTCTTTCAAAAATTGCAAAATGAAACTGAATTCCAACTATCATTTTTGTAACACTTTTAACAGTTGTAATGATCTACAGGGTGAGTAAAAAAAAAATCAAATGTTGGGACATTTTTTTAGTAAAGTTCTGCATGTATAGCACTTTCAAAATCTAGCATATAAAAGCCCAATTCATAAGCAATTGTTAGTACAAGAATCATTCAAATCACTTATGTACTTGTCAAATTACGGAATTTCAAACACAACCGCCGTTTTAAAGTTCTGTCTACGGATCACAAAAAAGGCGCGCGTTCTTTCAGCAAAACGAAAACAATTCACACACACCCTTTGTGATTTGTTTTCGTTTAGCTGAAAGAACAGTCACTTACCTTTTTGTGATCTGTTGACAGAACTTTAAAATGGTGGTTGTGTTTAACATTCCGTAACTTGAAAATTACATGAGTAATTTGAATGATTCTTGTACTAAAAGAAGGCTCAGTATGAATGGGGCTTTCGTATCATAGATTTTGAAAGTGCCACATGCAGAGCTATGATAATGGTCCCGACATTTGGGTTTCTTTTTTTTACTCACCCTGTATTGTAAACTAAATGATAGCAATCAGATATATGAAGTAAATAGTAAAACGCATCTAAAATGCTCATATAATTAAATACGTTCTTGGTATCAAACGCTGGAGAATGTCAGTCGTATATAGATTTTACTTTATGCTACACAGATAATATGTGTTTGTAGTATATATTCACGGTGGCTTGTTCTCTTGCAAGCTTTAAATTAGTGCTTTGGTTTAGGCTGTTTCCAATGCCATTATACACTGCTTAAATGTGACTTTGGACTCTATGCACGGTTTACTTGTACAGTGCATAATTTATGTCTGTTTGCTTTTGCACTCTGCGATAAGACTATATAATGTTGATAAAATTAACAATCTGTAAGTTGAACCTTTGGAGTTTGGATACACTCAAAGTAGGCCTACATTGCTTGTATGCAGACGTGACATGCCCCCTCCCCCCCCCCCAAAAAAAAAAAAATCGTGCGGGAAACTCATCAAAGGAAATATCTAGACTTCTTTTTCATTGTCACATCGTTCAGTACGACTTGTGCCAAATGGGTTAAATTCTCATTTTCTTACCTTTTCCCCCTCGCAATTTCTGTTGTTGCATTGTAGAGGTGAAGATGGTTTCAAGGACTACTGTGAAGTCAAGACTGTAAGTTGTTTTATTTAAGAAACAGTATAATGGCGGAATTATATTTCAAAATGTTACTGAAGGAAGAGCGCGTTGCATTATTGCGTAAATATAAATCAGAAAAATATGGAATCCATTTGCAGGAAGACATCAAAATGAAAGGAAAGAGTTATAGAGGAATAAATATCTGGCGACGTGAGCAGATGAAGTCATGTTTAGAGACCACCCCCTCTGTACAAAAGAACCGTTTTTGCCTGAAATCTAACTCAATTTTAATATTTCTGATCAAATTTCAGGTTGTCATCAAAGTTCCCCAGAAGAACTCTTAGTATGTTTGGACCGCATCAGGGAGAGAAGAAAGCTTAATGATCAGCGTTCATCAACGTTCCATGACCTTGTCTCACAAATTCAATGAGTTGGATTCAGTTCAGCCAATGAAAAAGACTCACGACCAACATGAAGCGGACGGAAGGGTCAACTGAGCAACGTTCCCAGTCCAATTTTTATAACCAGTTAAAACTAAAATAATACTGTATAGGCCCATTGCAAGTGGTTTTGTTGTGTTTCTTAACTTAAGAGCTCCAATCATAATGTTATTTTGATGCTTAGTTAACAAACATCAGATTTTCATATCGTGGTTATAATACTAAAGAAATCAATATATTTCGTGAGTGTATAGGCAATTTTTAATTAATACAAAGATCACTGTCAATAACAAACACTGGGAATAGTCCCCTAGGTCTTCCTTTGGGCGGGAACATTTCCGAACATCTTCTGAAAGATTTTTAAAAACGTTGTGACAAAAAACCGTCAGTCGCATTATCCAATCGAGAAAAAAATGCGTTATGGTCATATATATTATAATTTAAAAAAAAAAGATGACAGAGAACTGCCACCAACTTTACAATAGTTTGGACTTTAACTTTTTTGCACTTTCTACGTCTAAATTAACGTGAGATAAGCACAGCTCTGGTCAGGCGGGATGTTTTTGTTTTCTCCAAACCCAAGCCATTGTTGTAGGCATTTTGAAGTGAACACTTGGGCTGCAACGTTCGCGATCCTTTTGCGCATGGGGAATCGTTTCCCAACGTTAGTAAACGTTTACATTGCGTTAAGTGCATGGAACGCAAGCCATTGTATTGATGCAAACAATAATTTATTGTGTTTTTTTATTAAATAATAATTATGATGGTTATTGATGCTTAGAAATTCTTATCCTGTTCGATTGCAATGCAAAGAACTATTTTATTCAGTGTATTTTTAAAATTAAATCAGTATCTAAAATATTAATGTACCCGCTATAAAACGCCTAGTCGTTAAAAAAAAACTGTTTCAAGAAAAATGTGCATGGTACGTTTGAGTTGAAGTCTGTGATTTCTGGATGAATTGAAGATTACGAACGTGAACGAACCGAACCCACTTGGATTGACGGGAATTCAGTCTGCTTCAAGTTCTGCTCGTCATAGCATGCAGATGAGACGGGTCATTACGAACATCGGAAGTCGGTGACGTCATGAGCGTTTGCCATTGGTCAGAAGTTGAAGGGGCCCTTCAGCCTCATCAATATCTAGCCATGATTCGATTGGTCAGAATCTTTCGGTCATTTGAGTAAACTAGCGATTTTTAGTAAGTTGTCAATCGCTGTACGTATTTCATGTAAATGCCGGGTGAACTCGACACAAGAGGGCGGTATGAAATTAGGATAATAACATGTGGTGGGTAATATTATTAACGTAAAGTTTACGTGCGATAGACGACGCGTACGGCAAAACGGGTAAACTGCAACTAGAGTTGTAAAACTTGTAATGTATTAACATGATTGTGTCAACTCCAAGCCTGAACTGTCTGTTGGATTGACACTTAAAATGGCCAGCCCAGACGTAGATGTGTGCTTGACCAGTTACGACTATGTTTTCAAGCCCGATATTTTGACGTAAGTAATCTCGTATTAGTCCGAAAATTTGGGACTCTCAATACTAGTGTATGAGAGTCCCAAAACTTAAGGTATCCATATCGTGCAAAACTTTGTGCTGCATGATAAAACCAGTGTGAATCAAATTTGCAAGCTTCTTACTCACTACAGTTTCTTCAATAATCCCCGAAACTTCTGCCTAGCAAAGTTGCTGTTGTGAGCATTGCATCACCAAAAATTCAGCTTTTAATTCTAATTTTGCAGAGAGTTATCGAAATCCATACGTGAAACATCACGTTGATGTGTACTGCAATGCATTGTGCAAAAAGACTCCTCAGCTATAACATTTTCATCGTGTAGATAAAACAGCGCCCTCTTGTTGATCTGAGTGAATGCAAAATGTTTCATTTTTTAGCAGAGGGCGCTATGTTCATTTGGCCATTGATTAAAAAACAAGTAAGCTGCAAGGCTCTTCCTACACCTACCCAGAATACATTGGGAATCACACATATATTTCCAGAGCATGGAGAATGACGTGGGTGGTTTTTGAAGTGCCAAAACCTTGCCTTAAAATTGGATTTAAGATCTCAAATTTTGCAGGTGACATGCTTGCAACTATAGCATTTTGATGTATGTGCTGTGTGGGCATTAATTAGCCAAATGGTGAGTAAAAAAACGTCAGTAGTAATTTTGCACGTTTTTATGCACTCACGGTCCCAGTCTGATCTCGTATTAGCTTCGCTGATAACAAGGCCAAGCCAAGGGGTCTAAAATCTGTTCCAATTGCAGTCTAACAACTAAAGTTTAAATAATAGGCCTAGTTATTGTTTAAAGAAATAAAAGAAAATAAACGATTCTAATTTGTCAAATATATTCTTGTCTTAAGATTCACTATCATGACTATATTAACTATAATTATAGAATAATAGAGCAGAAACAACAAGGAAGAACGCTCAGCTGGCAATAACTGTGATGGTTATGCCCTAGGATTTTGATGTTTAGGATTTTGATAGGATGTTACTAGTATGAAATCAGGACTTTTAACCTTTTTACAATTGAATTGTGCTTGGTGGTTTTTCTTTCAGGGGAAAAGTGGCCTTCATCACAGGTGGTGGATCGGGAATTTGCTTCACAATTGCGGAAATTTTCATGAGGTACAGTGAACCAAAACTACATCTGTGAATTGTTTGGTTGAAAAATAATGTCAGACTGAGTAAAAAAAATTAAATAGTTTCTCGTCCAGACTTTGTGAAAAAATGGAGGAGGCGGGATTCTTCCATTTTCTCGACTCTGTTGATGATACAAAATTGTGTCCAAAGGAGCTGTAGTCCTTTCTACATAGCTACAATTTTGTTGGTAACGAATATAAAGACAATACAGTGACAGTTTATTTGAAAAATATATTGCAAATGTATGAATTTAAAAAAATGTAGGAGGCAGGCTAGTCCCACTAACTGGGGCGCTAGAACTCCTTTTTTGACATTTGGGATGTTGGTCTGTCGTACTACGACAGACCAACATCCCAAATGTCAAAAAAGGAGTTCTAGAACTCCTTTTTTGACATTTGGGATGTTGGTCTGTCGTACTACGACAGACCAACATCCCAAATGTCAAAAAAGGAGTTCTAGCGCCCCAGTTAGTGGGACTAGAGGCAGGCAGGAACAAGGAGGCAAGCTGTGATGAGGAACTGTTTTTCTTTTTACTCGGCCTAAGGCTGCCTTTGAAAACAATACACTTTCCCAGATCATACTACATGTACCAGCAATATTTTTAACGTACACTTTTTTCGCTATAAACAGTAAGCCATTCACTATTGTATCCATACTAGTGCTTGATATCAATCATTGTTTTCTTTCTTTCATAGACATCAGTGCAACACAGTTATAGCCAGCAGAAAATATAATAGATTGCAAGAGGTAATCATCTTAATCTGTACTATGACCTAAGCAATCAATTGCAAGTAATTGATCATGACAATTCGTAGTCACAAGAACCCAGTGGTGTATCAAGGTACCCCCCCCCCCCACATGCCAAAATACAAGTTTTATTTGTTTAATTTGACCAGACCAAACAAAACTGTTTTTGTACCTGTATCCTGTATGTACTCGGTGTGGAGAGACTCGTTGAACAAGTTCGCAAATTGAAATGGACCAGTCCACTTTACAGTGTGGCCTAGTGGTTAGGGTTCGTGATTCACGATCAGAGAGTCAGGGGTTAGAATCCAGCTGTTGGTCGTATGCTGTATGTGTCCTTGGGCAAGCCACTTCACCCCAACTCGCTGATCTCTCCACCTAGAAGTATAAATGGGTACCAGCATTAGCTGGGGAGTAACCTGTGATGGGCTGGCATCCCATCCAGGGGGAGTAGAAATATTCTCAGTCGTTTCATGCTACTGAAACCGGAGATAAACGCCAGCCTGATCAAGCCATTGACAGACTTTTTACTTAACATACCTATGCTCCGTACCATAGATTTTCTGGAGAATGAAAAAGTAATTCTAAACAATTCCTTTTTTTCTCTCAGTCAGCTAAGAAACTAGAGAGTGCCACTGGACAAAGATGTCTACCAATTCAAGTTGATGTCAGAAAGGTAAGTTTGAAACTACCTCCTTAAACAAATTAATTCCCCCAGCCCCTACCCCTCCCTAGTCTGAGTATCGCCCGCTTTCCAACGGAGCCTTCTCCGTATCTAACGTCTTATGTATCAGAGCAATTCAAATGTTATGAGACCCTGCGCGCCAGTCAACAGATTTTAGAAATCAGAAATGTGGACTAAGCTGTTGATTGGTCAATTGGGCTGACATCTTTTTTTAATTCAACAACAGGTTACGGAATTTCCTATACAAGGCGCCCGGCCGGCCGAATCTGCTCGCATATCATTGACCTTTATCCCCAAAGCTCCGAAACTCTTAACACACACTTTTTGGCTGTTTCTTTTTAGCTGTTTTTTCTCCTCCGTTGCATTTACTTCTCTCTGCAATGTGTTGTGTAGCAATATAGAAGTGCATAATTATAAGCGTCAATAGTGTCTCTTCTCTCACATGTACATTGCGACAATTGGTAAAGTTTATTGTCGGGGTCTGTATCTGGTTTTAAACATTCAACGTTCTATCCTATAAATAGGTTCCGAACAGTTCCCTAAACGTATTTATAATGAATTTTTTTTTCTTCTTTATTCAGCCGGAGGAAGTGCTGCGCAGTGTTGAGCAAGCTCTCAATCATTATGGAAGAATTGATATTCTCGTCAATGGTAAATAGTTATTTCGATAATTTTTTGTGAGTCCTCAAAAGGGTTCTAGTAGTAGGCACTGTAGCTCGAATGCCTGACGAAACCTGTAGAGAGGAGACAATGAGAAGAAACGACAGTTTTTTTTAGAAGTAGCAGGAAAACCCCAGAAGAATATTCTGGGGAAAACCTAATCAAGTAGGGACTGAAAACCCAATCCACATGTGATCCGGGCAGGAATCGAACCCAAGCCACAGCGGTGGAAGGCAAGGAAAGTAACCACTGCACCAACCCAACTATTCAAAAGATTGTTGGTAGTAATGTTAGCAAATGAGCCATTGTTATTTGAACGAACTGAAATGTAAGTTCAGTGCCTGTGATTATAGCTGTAGAGTATCTGGTTTGGATGGGATGTTCTATAAGACTTGCACAACCAGGGAATTCTGCATGCTTGTGTCCTTGAGCAAGGTACTGTGTTGCTATTGTTTCTCTTTTTTGGATAAACAATTAAGCGAGAACGCTTAATTGTTTATCCAAAAAAGTGGACAAGTTTAAAAAGTGGAAAAGCAGTATCCAAACTCTCTTTCAACAACTTTTACAAAATTTGGCCTGGGGGAAAAAATGGAAAAAACATTTTCCTGAAATATCAGTTTTGCCCAAAGATTCTATTCTTTGGTTTCAATAAATCGAATTTTGATTTTGGCTCCACGAATAGGCCATGCAGGAAGTGAAAGCTACCGCTAACAATCACTTCAGCTGCTTGTAAAGTTACATTCTTTAAATTGCAATCTGTCCTTTTTAGGAGCTGCCGGAAATTTTCCAGCACCGGCCAGCAGTCTGTCCTTCAACGGTTTCAAGACAGTTCTTGAGATTGACACGGTGGGGACATTCAACACTTGCAAAGCCGTCTACGAAAAATACATGAGGGTATGCCAACTCTGATATCATTCGTAAACCCTTTGCTTGCCTAGGGTTATAGGGGTGCAGACCAGTAAATCGGTCCGAAATTGCCTGCGCCGGCCAAATCACGATTTGCATGCCCT